GGGAGTGATCCTGGCTAGGGAGTGATCCTGAGCTAGAAGGATTAGCTGGAGAGTGACCAAGCTGGGGAGGATCCTATGGGGAGTGATCCAGCTAGGGGAAGGATTATAGGTGAGAGTGATCCAAGCTAGAGTGATCCTAGCTAGGGAGTGATCTAGCTAGGGAAGGATTATAGCGTGAGAGTGATCCAAGCTAGGGAGTGATCCTAGCTAGGGGAGTGATCCTAGCTTAGGGAAGGATTATAGCTGCGAGAGGAACGCTAGAGTGATCCTAGCTAGGGAGTGATCTCTACTAGGGGAAGACAAAGCCGAGAGTGGTTCAAGGGGGAGGATCTGAGCTAGGGGAAGGATTAAAGGTGAGAGTGATTCAAGCCTGGGAGTGATTCTAGCTAGGGAGTGATCCTAGCTAGGGAAGGATATAGCTGCGAGAGGATCCAAGCTGGAGTGATCCTAGCTGGGAGTGATCCTAGCTGGGAAGGATTATAGCTGTGAGAGTGATCAGCTAGAGGATCCTAGCTAGGGAGGATCCTAGCTAGGGGAAGGACTGAAGGTGAGGGATCCAAGCTAGGGGAGATTCTACTAGGGGAGTGATCCTAGCTAAGGGAAGGATTATAGCTACGAGAGGATCAGCTAGGGAAGTGATCCTAGCTAGGGAAGGATTATAGCTGCGAGAGTGATCCAAGCTAGAGGATCCTAGGGGAGTGATCCTACTAGGGAAGATTATAGGCGAGAGTGGTCAGCTGGAGTGATCCTAGCTAGGGAGTGATCCTAGCAGGGGAAGGATTAAAGCTGAGAGTGATTCAAGCTAGGGAGGTCTCGGCTAGGGAGTGATCTCACTAGGGAAGGATTATAGCTGCGAGAGTGATCCAAGCTGGGGAAGTGATTCTAGCTAGGGAGTGATTCTACTAGGGAAGGATTAAAGCTGCGAGAGTGATCCAAGCTAGGGAGTGATCCTAGCTAGGGGAGTGATCTAGCTAGGGAAGGATTATAGCTAGAGAGGGTCCAAGCTAGGGAGTGATCCTAGCTAGGGGAGTGATCCTAGCTAGGGAAGATTATAGCATGAGATGATCCAGCTGGGAGTGATCCTAGCTAGGGAGTGATCCCATAGGGAAGGATTAAAGCTGGAGAGTGGTCCAAGCTGGGAGGATCCTAGCTAGAGTGATCCTAGCTAGGAAGGATTATAGCTGCGAGATGATCCAAGCCTGGGAGTGATCTTGGCTAGAGTGATCCTAGCTAGAAGGATTATAGCTGGGAGAGTGATCCAAGCTAGGGAGGACCTAGCTGGAAGGATTATAAGGTGAGAGTGATCCAAGCTAGAGATCCTAGCTAGAGGGATCCAGCTAGGAAGGATTATAGCTGGAGAATGACGAAGCTAGAGGATCTCAGCTAGAGTGATCCTGCAGAGTGATTTGCTGGAGAGTGATCGCACTGGAGAGGCCAAGGGCCAGGCGGGTAAGAGCAGGTGAGGTCAGGGACCACCAGCAGTGAGGGCCAGGATCGCCAGCAGGTAAGCTCAGAAAAAGCCAGGACTGCCAGCAGGTAAGCTCAGGTGAGGGCCAGGGACTGCCAGCAGGAAAGCTCAGGAGAGCCAGGAACCGCCAGCAGGTAAGCTCAGGTGAGAGCCAGGAAGCGCCAGCAGGTAAGCTCAGGAGAGCCAGGAAACGCCAGCAGGTAAGCTCAGGTGAGGGTCAGGGACCGCTAGCAGGTAAGCTCAGGTGAGAGCCAGGAACCGCCAGCAGGTAAGCTCAGGTGAGAGCCAGGAACCGCCAGCAGGTAAGCCTGTGGTGAGGCCAGGGACCGCCAGCAGGTAAGCTCAGGTGAGAGCCAGGAACCGCCAGCAGGTAAGCTCAGGTGAGGCAGGGACTGCCAGCAGGTAAGCTCAGGTGAGGTCAGGGACCGCCAGGTAAGCTCAGGTGAGAGCCAGGGAACCACCAGCAGTTAAGAACAGGTGAGCGCCAGAGACCGCCAGCAGGTAAGCTCAGGTGAGGTCAAGGACCGCCAGCAGTTAAGCTCAGGTGAGAGCCAGGGACCACCAGCAGGAGGTCAGGGTCAGCCAGCAGGTAAAGGTCAGGGGCCACCGACAGGTGAGGTCAGTGACAGCCAACAGTGATGGCAGGGGCCACCAGGAGGTGAGGTCAGAGACACCAACAGGTGATGGTCAGGGGCCACCGACAGGTGAGGGTCAGAGACAGCCAACAGGTGATGGTCAGCCACCAGGAGGTGAGGGTCAGAGACAGCCAACAGGTGATGGTCAGGGGCCACCGACAGGTGAGGTCAGAGACAGCCAACAGGTGATAGTCAGGGGCCACCCAGGAGGTGAGGGTCAGAGACAGCCAACAGGTGATGGTCAGCCACCAGAGGTGAGGGGTCAGAGACAGCCAACAGGTGATGGTCAGGGGCCACCAGGAGGTGAGGGCTCAGAGACAGCCAACAGGTGATGGCGGGGCCACCAGGAGGTGAGGTCAGAGACAGCCAACAGGTGATGGCAGGGGGCACAGAGGTGAGGGTCAGAGACAGCCAACAGGTGATGGTAGGGGCCACCAGGAGGTGAGGGTCAGAGACAGCCAACAGGTGATGGTCAGCCACCAGGAGGTGAGGGGTCAGAGACAGCCAACAGGTGATGGTCAGGGCCACCAGGAGGTGAGGTCAGACAGCCAGCAGGTAAGGGTCAGGGGCCACCCCAGGTGAGGTCAGAGACAGCCAACAGGTGATGGTCAGGAGACCCCAGGAGGTGAGGGTCAGAGACAGCCAACAGGTGATGGTCAGGCCACCAGGAGGTGAGGTCAGAGACAGCCAACAGGTGATGGTCAGGGGCCAACATGAGGTGTAGAGACAGCAACAGGTGATGGTCAGGGGCCACCACGAGGAGGGTCAGAGACAGCCAACAGGTGATGGTCAGGAAACCACCAGGAGGTGAGGGCAGGATCAGCCAGCAGGTGAGGTCAGAGACAGCCAACAGGTGATGGTCAGGGGCCACAAGGAGGTGAGGTCAGAGACAGCCAACAGGTGATGGTCAGGGGCCACCAGGAGGTGAGGTCAGATCAGCCAGCAGGTAGGGTCAGGCCACCGACAGGTGAGGTCAGAGACAGACAGCCAACAGGTGATGGTCAGGGGCCACCAGGAGGTGAGGTCAGAGACAGCCAACAGGTGATGGTCAGGCCACCAGGAGAGGTCAGAGACAGCCAACAGGTGATGGTGAGGGGCCACCACGAGGTGAGGTCGAGACAGCCAACAGGTGATGTCAGGCCACCACGAGGTGAGGTCAGACAGCCAGGTGATGGTCAGGAACCACCAGGAGGTGAGGTCAGGATCAGCCAGCAGGTGAGGGTCAGAGCAGCCAACAGGTGATGGTCAGCCACCGACAGGTGGAGGTCAGAGACAGCCAACAGGTGATGGTCAGCCACCAGGAGGTGAGGTCAGAGACAGCCAACAGGTGATGGTCAGACCACCAGCAGGTGAGTCAGGGCAGCCAGCACGGTGAGGGTCAGGGGCCACCAGGAGGTGAGGCAGAGACAGCCAACAGGTGATGGTCAGACCCAGCAGGTGAGGGTCAGTCAGCCAGCAGGTGAGGGTCAGCCACCAGGAGGTGAGGTCAGAGACAGCCTACAGGTGATGGTCAGACCACCAGGAGGTGAGGTCAGCCACCAGGAGGTGAGGTCAGAGACCACCAGCAGGTGAGGTCAAGAGACAGCCAACAGGTGATGGTCAGGGCCACCAGGAGGTGAGGGTCAGAGACAGCCAACAGGTGATGGTCAGGGACCACCAGCAGGTGAGGGCAGCCACCAGGAGGTGAGGGTCAGGTCAGCCAACAGGTGATGGTCAGGGGCTGCCAGGAGGTGAGGTCAGAGACAGCCAACAGGTGATGGTCAGGACCACCAGCAGGTGAGGGCTAGGGACCACCAGCAGGTGAGGGCTGTAGGCCAACAGCAGCAGGTGAGGGTCAGGGGCCACCAGCAAGTGAGGTCAGGCCACCAGGAGGTGAGGGTCAGGGGCCACCAGGAGGTGAGGACCATGGACAGCCAACAGGCGAGGTCAGCCCGCAGGGAGGCTTAGGGGCCCACCAGCAGGAGGCCAGGGACCATCAGCAGGTGAGGCCAGGGCCGCCAGCAGGTGAGGGCCAGGGCCGCCAGCAGGTAAGAGCAGGTGAAGGCCAGGGACGGCCAACAGGTGAGGGCTGAGTCACCAGCAGGTGAGGCCAGGACCATCAGCAGGTGAGGCCAGGACCACCAGAAGGTGATGGCCAGGGCCGCCAGCAGGTGAGGCCAGGCCAGCAGGGTAAGAGCAGGTGAGGGCCAGGGACGGCCAACAGGTGAGGCGAGTCACCAGCAGGTGAGGCCAGGGACCATCAGCAGGTGAGGCCAGGGCCACCAGAAGGTGATGGCCAGGTGCCGCCAGCAGGTGAGGGCGGGCCGCCAGCAGGTAAGAGCAGGTGAGGGCCAGGGACGGCCAACAGGTGAGGCCATGAGTCACCAGCAGGTGAGGCCAGGGACCATCAGCAGGTGAGGCCAGGACCACCAGAAGGTGATGGCCAGGGGCCGCCAGCAGGTGAGGGCCAGCCGCCAGCAGGTAAGAGCAGGTGAGGCCAGGGACGGCCAACAGGTGAGGGCCATGAGTCACCAGCAGGTGAGGGCCAGGGACCATCAGCAGGTGAGGCCAGGACCAGACGGTGATGGCCAGGGTGCCGCCAGCAGGTGAGGTCAGCCGCCAGCAGGTAAGAGCAGGTGGGGCCAGGGACGGCCAACAGGTGAGGGCCATGAGTCACCAGCAGGTGAGGGAGGGATCACCAGGTGAGGGCCAGGAACCACCACCAGGTGAAGGCCAGGGGGCAGGGGTTAGGGAGAAGAGGCTGGGGCAACCAGCAGTAGAGAGTCGGGGGCCACCAGCAGGTGAGGCCAGGCCACCAACAGGTGAGGGCCAGGATCACCAGGTGAGGGCCAGGAACCACCACCAGGTGAGGGCCAGGGATCACCAACAAGTGCGGGGCCTGGGGCCAACAGCAGGTGATGGCCGGTGGCTGCAGGGACCGTAAGCAGGTGAGGACCAGGAGCCGTAAGCAGGTGACGGCAAGGGGGCCACCAGAAGGTGAGGGCCAGGGGCCTCCAGCAAGTGAGGGCCGGGAGCCGCCAGCAGGGGAAGGCCGGGGGCCACCAGCAAGTGAGGACTGCCAGCAGGTGAGGGCCAGGGACCACCAGGGAGAGCCAGGGAACACCAGCAGGTAAATTCCGGGGATCAGCAGTGACATAAGCATGTTTGCGGATGACACAAAAGTAGGGCGGCAGATTAATTCAGGGCAGGATGCAAATGTACTACAGAAAGATTTAAATAAACTGCAGGAGTGGTCAGAAAAATGGCAAATGATATTCAACACCAGCAAGTGCAGCTTTATTATTGGAAGAACAAATACTGTCAATGTATACAGCCTTAACAACATCAACCAGAGAAGTCGACTTCAGAAAGAGACTTAGGTGGTACTTGTAAGCCCTGACCTATGGCTTGGAAAACAGTGTGTAATGTTCGAAATAAGGCAGAGTATTAGTTTATATCTAGAATGTAAGTAATAAGAGTGGGAGGTCATATTGCAATTATATCTTGCACTAGTCAGGCTGCACCTCGATTATGCGGTTCAGTTCTGGTGCCCTTATTATAGAATGGATATCAATTACTGAGCGGTGCAGCGAAGAATGACGAAAATGATCGGGACTTAGAAACTTCCATGTCAAGATAGATTAAAAGAAACTAATTTGCATTCCTAGAAAGACGAAGAGTGCAGGGAGATATGAAGGAAGATGGGTGAAATGAATTAATAGAGGAGATATAGATAAAGTTTTATAATATCCGAGCAGGATAGGGCTCGGAGCAAAGGATTTAAGTTGGATAAGTTTATGTTTAGGAGGGAGATAGGAAGGAACTGTTTCACATATAGGGTGGTAGACGAGTGGAACAAGCGTTGCAACTTTGTAGTGAGTGCTGCGTCGCTGGAAAGTTTTAAAAGGAGGCTAGATACATTCATGAATGATAGAGAGTGGTAGTAACTCTCGACAGGAGCTGCCATGTACAGGCCAACCGGCCTGTGCAGACTCCTTATTTTCTTATGTTCTTGGCAAATTAGGGACTACCAGCTGGAGAGGGCAGGGGACCACCAGCAGGAGAGGGCAAGGGACCACCAGTGGAAGAGGGCCGGGGACCACCAGCAGGAGAGGGCCAGGGACCACCAGCAGGAGAGAGGTGGGGAACACCAGAAGAAGAGGGCCGGGACCAAAGCAGGAGACCGTGAACTACCAGCACCAGAGGGCCGGGGAACACAAGCAGGAGAGTACCGGGGACTAAAAGCAGGAGAGGGCCAGGACCACCACCAGGTGAGGGATCAGGAACAAACCGGCAAAGAAAGGGCCGGGGACCAACACAGCGAGAAGGCCAAACCAACAGAAAGGCCAGGAACCACCAACAGGAGAGGGCCTTGGACAAACAACAGGTGAGGGCCGGGGACCACCAACAGGTCAGGGTCAGGGACCGCCAGAAGATGAGGGACGAGGGCCACCAACAAGTGAAAGCCAGGGACCAGCAGCAGGTAAGTGCAGGTTACGACCATGGACCGCCACCAGGTAAAAGCAGGTGAAGGCCAGGGACGGCCAGCAGGTAAGAGCAGGTGAGGGTCAGGGACCACCAGCAGGTGAGGGTCAGGACCACCAGCAGGTGGTGAGCAGGGACCACCAGCAGGTGATGCATGCTGGACCACCAGCAGGTGAGTGGGGGACCACCAGCAGGTGAGGCCAGACCACCCAGCAGGTGAGAGGTTGGGACCACCAGCAGGTGAGACCAGGGACCACCAGCAGATGAGGGTCAGGACCACCAGCAGGTGATGGTCAGGGACCACCAGCAGGTGAGGTCAGACCACCAGCAGGTGATGGTCAGGACCACCAGCAGGTGAGGGTCAGGGACCACCAGCAGGTGAGGTCGGGGACCACCAGCAGGTGAGGACCAGGACCACCAGCTGGTGAGGCTGGTGGCCGCCAACAGGTGAGGGCCAGGGACCACCAACAGGTGACGGCCAGGGACCACCAGCAGGTGAGGGTCAGGGACCACCAACAAGTGAGGGCAGGGGGCCAGCAGCAGGGAAGGGCTATGGGTCGCCAACAGGTGAGGGCCGGAGACCACGAACAGGTGAGGGCTTGTGGCCGCCAACAGGTAAGGGCCGGGGCCACCAACAGGTGAGGGCAGGGACCACCAACAGGTGAAAGCAGGGGCCACCAACAGGAGAGCAGGGGCCCAACAGGTGAGGCCGGGGAATACCAAAGGTGAAGGCCAGGGCCACCAGCAGGTGAGGGCTGAGCCACACACAGATGAGGGCTAGGGGCCACCAGCAGGTGAGGATCTGCGGCCACCAACAGGTGAGGCCGGGGCCACCAGCAGATAAGGGCTGGGGCCACCTACAGGTTAGGGTCTGGGCCACGAACAAATGAAGGCTGGGGGCCACCAAGAGGTGAGGGTTGAGGGCTATCAGCAGTTAAGGGCTGGGGGCCACCATCTGGTGAGGGCTGGTGGCCACCAACAGGTGAGGACTGGGAGCCACCAACAGATGAGGGCTAGGAGTCACCAGCAGGTAAGGATCTGCGGCCACCAACAGGTGAGGGCCGGGGGCCACCAGCAGGTAAGGGCTGGGGGCCACCAGTAGGTTAGGGTCTAGGCCACGAACAAATGAGGGCTGGGGACCACCAACAGGTGATGGTACGGAGCAACCAGCAGTTAAGGGCTGGGGGCCACCATCTGGTGAGGGCTGGGGGCCACCAACAGGTGAGGGTCAGGGACCACCAGCAAGTGAGGGCCAGGGACCACAATCAGGTGAGGGTCAAGGAACATCAGCAGGTGAGGGCAAGGGACCACCAGCAGGTGAGGGTCAGGGACCACCAGCAGGTGAGGGCCAGGACCACCAGCAGGGTCAGGGACCACCAGCAGGTGAGGTCAGGGACCACCAACAGGTGAGGGCAGAGGACCACAGCAGGTGAGGGTCTAGGGACCATGATTATGGAGGTCAGGGATCTCAACAGGTGAGGGCCAGGGCCACCAACAGGTGAGGGCCAGGGACCACCAGCAGGTGAGGGACGGGGCCACCAGCAGGTGAGGACAGGGACCACCAACAGGTGAGGCCGGGGACCACCAGCAGGTGAGGGACGGGGGCCACCAGCAGGTGAGGACGCCACCAACAGGTGAGGACCGGGAGCCACCAACAGGTGAGGCACCGGGAGCCAACAGGTGAGGCCGGTGACCACCAACAGGTGAGGCCGGGAGCCACCAACAGTAGGGCAGGAGCCACCAACAGGCGAGAGGGCTAGGGGCCACCAACAGGTGTGGGCTTGGGGCCACCAACAGGTGAGGGCTAGGCCATCAGCAGGTGAGGCTGGTGGCTATCAACAGGTGAGGGCTGGAAGCCAGCAGGTGAGAGCACCAGCATGTGATGGCCGGGCAACCAACAGGTGAGGGCTAGGGGCCACCAGCAGGTGTGGGCTTGGGGCCACCAACAGGTGAGGTGAGGAGGCCACCAGCAGGGGAGGGCCACCAGCATTTGAGGCCCGGGACCACCACATAAGGAGGCAGGGGCCACTAACAGATGAGGGCCGGGCCACCAGCATGAGGGCTGGTGGCCACCCCAAGTAACAGCTATGGGCCACCAGCAGGTGAGGCCGGGGACCACCATCAGGTGAAGGCCGGGACCACCACAGGTGAGGCCGGAGCCACGAACAGATGAGGCTATGGGCCACCAGCATGTGAGGGCTGGTGGCCACCAACAGGTGAGGGCTGGGAGCCACACACAGATGAGGGCGAGGCCCATTAGGTGAGGATCTGCGGCCACCAACAGGTGAGGGCAGCCACCAGCAGGTAAGGGCTGGGGGCCACCAGTAGGTTTAGGTCAGCCACGAACACATGAGGCTGGGGGCCACCAAGAGGTGTGGTTGAGAGGCTACCAGCAGTTAAGGGCTGGGGCCACCATCTGGTGAGGGCTGGTGGCCCAACAGGTGAGGTCAGGGACCACCAGCAAGTGAGGGCCAGGGACCACAATCAGGTGGGAGGGAGGAACACCAGCAGGAGGGCAAGGGACCAGCAGGTGAGGCCAGGGACCACCAGCAGGAGGGCTGGCCACCAGTAGGTTAGGCCAGGCCACGAACACATGAGGGCTGGGGCCACCAAGAGGTGCAGGTTGAGGGCTACCAGCAGTTAAGGGCTGGGGCCACCATTCTGGAGGGGCTGGTGGCCACCAACAGGAGGGTCAGGGACCACCAGCAAGTGGAGGCGGACCACAATCAGGTGAGGGCCAGCAGGTGAGGGCAAGGGACCACCAGCAGGTGAGGGTCAGGGACCACCAACAGGTGAGGGTCAGGGACCACCAACAGAGGGTCAGGGACCACCAGCAAGTGAGGGCCAGGACCACAATCAGGTGAGGGTCAAGGAACACCAGCAGGTGAGGGCAAGGACCACCATCTGGTGAGGCTGTGGCCACCAACAGGTGAGGTCAGGACCACCAGCAAGTGAGGCCAGGACCACAATCAGGTGAGGTCAAGGCACCAGCAGGTGAGGGCAAGGGACCACCAGCAGGTGAGGGCAGGGACCACCAGCAGGTGAGGGCCAGGACCACCAGCAGGTGAGGTCAGGACCACCAGCAGGTGAGGTCAGGACCACCAACAGGTGAGGCCGGACCACCAGCAGGTGAGGGTCAGGGACCACGATTAGGTGAGGGTCAGGACCAACAGGAGATAGGGCCACCACGGGGTGAGGGCTGGGGCCACCAGCAGGTTAGAGCCGGGACCACCAGCTGGTGACTGGGGACCACCAACAGGTGAGGACCAAGCCACCAACAGGAGAGGGCTGGGGACCACGAGCAGGTGAGGGACAGGGCACACCAACAGGTGGAGGCGGCACCAGCAGGTGAGGGACGGGGCACACCAACAGGTGAGGGCAGGAACCACCAGCAGGTGAGGGACGGGCACAAGGGCAGGTGAGTCCACCAACAGGTGAGGCCGGGGCCACCAACAGGTGAGGCCGGGGACCACGAGCAGGTGAGGGACAGCTACCAACAGACTGCAGCCCACAGGTGAAGGCCGGTGGCCACCAACTGGTGAGGGCTGGGGACCACCAGCAGGTAAGGGCCGGGGGCCACCAACAGGTGAGTGCAGGTGCCACCAACAGGTGAGGGCCAGAAGCCACCAACAGGTGAGGGCCGGGGGCCACCAACAGGTGAGGGCCGGGGGCCACCAACAGGTGAGGGCCGGGGTCCACCAACAGATGAGGGCTGGAGGCTACCAACAGGTGAAGGCCGGGGGCCACCAACAGGGTCACATAGCACTGCTGTTGTCTGTTCCCATTATGCTGACCACGTTTTCTCGTTTTTTTTTGGTGGAGGCATTGTTGGTGAAGTATGCATAAGTCCCATCTATCAGATCTGCTTGCGGAAAAACTTTTGTGTTCGTCAGGCTTGTAGTCCCGGTACCTAGTCATGGATGAAGTCTATGAACTGGCTTTCATGTTTTTGCTTGACTGTGATTCTACGTCTGTTGAGTTTACCACCAGTGGGGGTGTCATTGGCTACATGTATACTAGCTTGGATTGGGCTGTGGTCAGACATAAGATCAGTGACAACATCAGAGCTATGAGTTGTGTATGATAGATTAAAGCCAATGCATTTGTCTAGACCCCCGCCATAGATGTGTGTTGGTTCATTATTACCTATAATTTGAACATCTTCAAATGCGCTGAGAAGTGAGATAAGTCCCCTACCATTGGTGTTCGTGGTGGAGTCACCTAATTTCTTGTGTCTAGTATTCAGGTCACCCATCAGGACAGTGGGCTCAGTGTGTAAAAAGTCTGGGAGATCTGTGTACTGAAGCTGATCTGAGGGAGCATAGGCGTTTAGCACGTTGGGTGTGGAGTTGCCCAGGTGGATAGTGATCCCATGGTACTGAAGGTTGGTAGTCTTTTTGGATACAAGAGGTACATGCGGGAGTGACTTCTTAACATACATCAAACATGTGTGAGTAGAACTAGGATCATAATACACATAATTGGGCAGACTGGGTGGGGGCTTACTATTAGGTGTGAGACACTCCTGCAGACACACAATATCGATGTCCTCAGTCACAACTTTGTGGTGTAGGTCAGGGTATCGTTTTCTAAGGGATGAGATGTTCCAACTCATCACCTTCACCGCTCTGTATCTTTGTCTGGTATTAACACTGGCCATTATGAAATGTGTTTGGAACTTTGTCTGGTATTAACACTGGCCATTATGAAATGTATTTGGAAAGAAGCAAAGGGCACTGTATGATACTGTTCTTTTCTGCGCTGCCTGTCCCTTCGGCAGGCAGTAGGCCAGTTAACCTTTTTGAAACATTTCTGGAGCATGTACGGCTCAACAATTGTTGTATTTCAGTGGCAGACAACAACACACTTTGGTTACACTCGACATCACCACCATTTTCTGTTTGTG